AGAGTTTCGTAGGATTATAAAAATTATATAAGAAAATAGGTTAATCCATTTTATTTATAAAAAAAAATGATGACAAATTATTTGAATTGTATTTGAAGAAATATAACAAATGATAGCTTTAATCATTATATACCCAAAAAAAAAAATTATATAGGTTACTCAACAACAAAATGGTCGAATATAACTAAAGTCACGGACATTGAATTAAATCATATGGGCTCTAATAATATAATCTAATAAATCAACTAATAATAAAAGAGAGATATCAACCAATATCACTACAAAAAAATCAAGTTTTAGCAGCGTTTTTTATTGTAGCGGCCTTAAAAATGCTGCTATAGATGGGCTATTGTAGCAGTTATTGACCACAACTAAAAATTAAATTTTTAGTAGCATTTTTTTTAAAAAACGCTGCCATATATTTTTTTATTTTCTCTGGACTGAAATTTCTCTGGATCAAGGTTGAGGGACCTTAGACATTATGAAAATATTGTTGAGGGACCTTAGACATTATAAAAATATTTGATGTCCTTTATGCTATAAAATGATAATACCAGGGACCTTAAAAAAAAAACCCTTCTTTTTATGAGACAATTTGTGGGTTAGTTTATGTTTAATCTATTGTATTCTTTAAATAGACTCTTTTATCTTTTAGGTACACCATTTTTTCTTCTTCTTCTTTTTTTTTTAATTTTTAATTTTTTTTTATCTATGATCATTTTTTTTTGTTTTTGTATTTTATATTTTTTATGTCATTTCTCCCTCCTCTCTACCAACCATTATCTATTTTTTTGTTTATAATTATTTTTTGTTAGTTAATATTGTTTTGCTATAATTTTTATACTAAAATGACATGATAGGGTCATTTATATAATAAAAAACATGTCACCCATTATAAAGTGATAGATTAAAATCCAAACAAAATCATTATTAATAAATTTTTTGTTTTGATTTTATGTTTGTATATTACTTTTTTTTCAAAAAAAAAATTACTTTAATATTTTTTTGATATCATGATATGTGTTAATTGACAGTTGGTGTACAGCATTACTTCAAAGGTATATAATAGTAGTTATGAAAATAAAATATTAATTTTAATCAATTTTTTCAAAACTATTAAACGTATTAGTCAATTATTTATTTATTTATCTTTAAATCTCATCTCATAACAAAGTAACTATACATTAAAAAAAAAAATCTTATCTCATAACAAAATAATTATATTAATTTTTGTAATTTTAAAAATATATTTTAGAAATAGTACTATTGTTTAACAAAATAACTACAGATTAAAAAAAAACTAAAATTGCTAATTTTTGTAATTTAAAAAATATTTAAAAATAATACTATTTGCTAACAAAGTAACTATTAAAAATAATATTATTGGCTAACAAAGTAATTATAGATTTAAAAAAAAAATAATTGAATTACAAGTTCCAAAAATCTCTCGCCTAATATTTATTTCTTTTCTAAATCTCATAATCTATCTATCTCTGCTATATATTATACAAAGTAACTTTTCATCTTAGATGCCCTACGTATTTCAAAAACTTAAATTTAATTTTTTGAATTTTTGATTTTTATAAAAAAAAATAAAAAATAAAACATCTATTGGCTATTCCGATAACATAAATATTTACCTTCAAAATTATCTAATGCAAATATATTGCCAATAAAAAGAAATAAAGATAAAAAAAAAACACACACACACACACACACACACACAATTCTCAACCTTCCACTCCTTCTGTAACACCCTCAAAATAAACCCATAAATCATACATTCTTGACATGCTTAGACGAAAGAAAATGAAGCATAATTTCATAAATCAGAGTATTCTTTACAAAATGTATTACATGTTGACAACAAAAGTAAATGCCCTATAGGCTTACAACTTTCCAACTCAACACTTGGTTTCAAAAGGAGAGTACTAACTCTACACAAAATAAGCCCTTGGCTTGATATACATGTAATACAACAAAATAAAACAAAAAGAGTCTTCGACTCCCACTGCCATCCAAGCTAAGGCCTCGGAGGCGGCATACTACCTGTACCTAAAAATGATGTCCCATATAGGGTAAGCCAACGCCCAGTAGAGATATGCTAAACATAACATGAGCAATAACTAAAACATTAGCACTTGATAAATGTTTAACTTAACAAAACTCAACTTATAAACATGGCTCAGAACCTGGCCAAATAACTGAAGTAAGACTACATCTCATGCCAACAATACTACATCTTGCCATTTTATGGAAATTGCGTCCGCGGGATTCGGCACCCATGTATTCTCATTCTCTTATGGCCATTTTATGGATATTTCATCCGCGGGACTCGGCATCCATGTATAATTATATTCAAATGGCCATTTTACGAAAATTTCGTCCGCGGGATTCGGCACCCATGTATTCAAATACACAACTTGACTAGTTTCAATTTACCTAATCATCATGCAATGTCTACAACAATCAAGACTATCCTCCACTGATAGCCCAAAGCAGTTATTTCTAAACAGATAATAAATGCCTTAATAGATATATAATTGACATTTTCAAAAGTAAGCGATTTATAAATCCAACTCCACCATTCTATCTCTTAATGATCAAAATTCATTATCCCCAACTCAATTTCATAACAAATGTCATTAATTACACTAATGACCCAAATATACCCAAATATGACATTTTTTCCTTTCAACTCAATATTGACTCAAGGATCCAAATATTACCAACAATAACAATAATCTCTTTTTAAGACCCCAAATATATATATATGAGCCAAAAGGACAAAACCCCTCTTCTTCAATATAATACATTACAAACCCTAACTTCCCAAATTTAAACCATTTATACAAAAGCTCCACATTTAGGTTAAAGATCATAAAAATGAATAGGAATCCCTACCTCAAGTTTAGAAGGGGAAGAAGGAAGAAAAACTCAAAAGTCGACGGAGGAGAAACCAAGCTTTGCTCTGATCAAAATGAAGCCCTCGACAAGTTCTACACTTTATCTCAAAGGAGCAAGGTGAGTAGAGGTCTTCAAACAAGTAGATCTAAGGATCTTTGAGTGAAAAGTGCCTTGAGAGAAAGAGACGTGTTTCATGGTTTAGAGAGAGGAAAGGGAAGAAAAAGTGAGAGAAAATGTCAAGTGAGGGCCTTTATATAGTACTAGGTCAAAAATAGATATAAGCCCCAAAGTCAACTCAAAATATCTAGTCAAAATATCCCTAAAAAGTAGGTCCAAATCGTGAGAAAAATCTGAGAAAAAGTCGCAGGTGTCGACCCCTGCAACAGTGGTGTCGACACCAAAGAGGAAAAAAAATCTGGGAAAGCTTTGACTGCACTGCAAGTGTCGACACCACCCCAGACTGGTGTCTACCCTATCTTCCAGCAACCAACACACAGACAGAAGAGGGTCGACACCACCCCAAACTGGTGTCTACCCTATCTTTCAGCAACAAACACACAGACAGAAGAGGGTCGACACCACCCCAGATTGGTGTCTACCCCATGTTCCAGCAACACCTCTAGAACTTCATCAACAGGTAAGAGTCGACCTTAGGAAGGCTGGTGTCGACCCTAGAATGGAATTTCTAAGTCTCCAAGGAACTTTTGACAAGAATAAGTGCGAACAACCAAGCCCAACAAGTTTAAATCAATTTGTACCCCTCCAAAACTAAAGTGCAACAACACCAAAGGTTCCCAAAATAGAATAAAGGGTTCAAATACATTTACCGAAAGCTTTAAAAGGCACAAGTGCTACACCTTCTCAAAATAGATAAAGTTTTTATTTAAAAAAAATATAAATCTCATACAATCTTATCTGTTCTAAAATAAATCTAATGAAAATGAAACTCTCTTATCTCCCATAAAATGTATATTATATAAACATAAAATTAAACCTAACATAAAATAAAAATTAAACCTTATATATAGATTCTCTCTCTATTCCATAATTAAGCACAATTTTATTCTCAAATAAATTTAAACATATCTATACTATATATAATTTTTTTTTAAAAATATCATAATTTATTATTTTTTATAATGATTCCATGATTTATAATTTAGAAAAGGAAAGATGAAAAAAATTATTCTTGTGCACTCTTTTTTTCTAACAAATTATTTATTGTATCCAAAAATCCTAACCATCATACATTATACTTTTTTCAAGCCATTCATGTCTTCCTCGCGCTGTAAATATTACATTTATGAAACGATGAAACTCATTGTTTTTTAACTTTCTTTTTATGAGACGATTTGTGGGTTAGTTTATGTTTAATCTATTGTGTAAAAAATAAAATAAAATAAATATATTTACACAATTAAATAAATAAATAAATAAATAAATAAATAAATATCAATAAATAAATATATTTACACAATTAAATAAATATATTTTTATAAACTAAATAAATAAAATATCAATAAAAATACATGTTATTTTTTAATTAAATATTTAAATAAACTTATTTTAAATAATAATAATAATTAAATAATAAAATCAAATAAAACATCTATTAAACAAATTGAATTGATTCAAAAACACTCAAGAAAGTCAAAATTGGCCTGCGCGTGCCTTGCATGCGTCAACTTTCCCTCCAAAAAACTAACGGCCGTTAAGCCTCCGTTTGAGAAGTGAATTGATTTTTTGATTTTTTTGGCTATTTTAGTCTGGGCTAAAATGCTTGATTTGGGAAGGATTTTTTTAACTTTTTTGACTTTTTTTGTGAGAGAAGAATGTAATGATTATGGGTTAGATGTAATGTTTTGTTTATTGTGGCTAAATAGTTTATTTTGTTTTTTGTAGTTAAAATAACCAAAAAAATCTAGAAACCTTCTTCCCAAACGATGCCAACTATTGGATCATTTCGAATCAAAAACCAAACTGCAAGAATAAAATTAAAATAATTAAAAATGCAAGAATCAAAATAAAAATACGGATAACCTGTAAGGACTATTTCTATAATTTACCCAAGATTTTATTGGTAGATATTAACCAACCCACTAAAACCCTAGTTCCCTCTTGCCCGCCACACATCTCAAACCCCCAAAACCCTAGCTCTATTCACCACCACCACCTATCAATGGAAGCTGAAGCCGTGAAAACAAACCTAGTTCTCATCCTAGACTTCGGTTCTCAGTACACCCACCTCATCACTCGCCGAATCCGAAGCCTCTCTGTCTTCTCTGTCTGCATCTCCGGCACCTCGTCTCTCAAATCCATCGCCGACCTAAACCCATCTGTCATCATCCTCTCCGGTGGCCCTCACTCGGTCCACGCGCCCAACGCGCCGTGTTTCCCAGATGGGTTCATCAAGTATGTCGAGTCCAACGGCGTGTTTGTGTTGGGTATATGCTATGGGTTACAGCTGATTGTGCAGAGACTCGGTGGGGAGGTTAGGGTTGGGGATAAGCAAGAGTATGGGAGGATGGAAATTGAGGTGAACAAGGCTTGTGGTCTGTTTGGGTCCAAGAGGGTTGGTCATAGGCAGGTTGTGTGGATGAGTCATGGTGATGAGGCTGTGAGATTGCCAAATGGGTTTGAAGTGTTGGCGCGGAGTGATCAGGGCTCGGTGGCGGCTGTTGAGAATCCGGCGAGGCGGTTTTATGGGCTTCAATATCACCCGGAGGTATAATTGGATTTCATTGATTTGGGTTTGTGAAATATTTTGTTTTTGAAATTTTGGTTCTTTAGTTTGTTTTTGTGAATTTAGTCATTGCTCACATGGGACAAACATATTTCTTAGGCTTCTCCAATACTTGACTCAAAAACCTATATCAAATTTAGATTTGTAGAGCTTTCCTTAACCAGCTGACCTTACTTCATAACCTCAGCTTCCCTTTCTTTTTAGTTGTAGAGCTTTCCTTAACCAGCTGACCTTACTTCATAACCTCAGCTTCCCTTTCTTTTTAGTTCGACTAAGTGACTTCGTAACTTTAGCAGACTTTCTTTCTTACTGCAGCATAGGCCTTTGCCACTTCAATTGGGTGCTTCACTGTGCCTTTTTTTTTTTTTTTTAATTAAAAGGAGCTGGGCCTTACTTATTCAGGGGGAATGAAAGAAAAATAAAGGGATCAGTGGGCTTTATGATCGGAGAAAGGGAAGGGGTGTGAACACCCCATTCCTTGACCAGAACTTCAAACTTATATGAAAATTGAGATTACTCAAATTTTACCCAAATTAAAGGAAACTCAAATGCTTATTCAAAATTCAAGATTATTTTGTGACTCTTGAATTGTGGCTATGCCTTTAGTGGCTTTTACTCAAATTTATGCTTAAATATGAGTATGTCCGTTGGAGTGGTTCATGTCAAATAAAGCTTATGGAGATGGCCTTACTAATTGTCTGTACTACACAAGTCCTAACAGCAAGGACAAGTTCCATCGTAATGGGATGATTGAAGATATTTCATTGAAATGAGAGGAAGAATGACTCGGTTTGGTTTTCTGTTTACTTTCCATTCGATGTGGCAGGGCCATTTTTTGATTTTCACAGCCAATAATTTAAAATTGTGCTTTGAAATAATAGCAAAAGAGATGATTTTTGGGTTAAATCAGTATAGGGCTTTTGTATCACTAGTATTTGGTTGTGGCAAGGGCACCACTCAAATTAATGAAATGACGATCATCATTTTGTTTCAAAATAGATGAAAGAGTTGATCACTTTGTCATGTAGCATATTTTCTTGGTGAAGAATGTTTAGTTTCCATATATCAGTTGGTTCTGTTTTCTGTTACTTATGTTTGTGTTCTAGTTGGAAATTATAGGAGTTATATATCCCTCCAAATTATTAGGATGCTTCAATAATATGCACTTAACGGCAATATGGTTAAACAGGAAAGATGTTGAATAAATAAGAATTAGTTCCATTTCATGGGGATTGGATTTTTTTGAGCAAAAGGTGCGTGATAACATTTCTTGCCAAATTGGATTAGTTAGCAGCTTCTTCAATTTCAACATTAGCTTGATATATGCATACACTAATAATATATTAATATTGTTAGTTCTATGTGAATGGCATCGGTTTTAATTGATGACTTGACGTTGATGTGAAATGATTATACAAAGGAGAATTTTTTTTGGTCCAATGAAGTATGCACAGATATGTGTTGGTATTCTAGGATGCTTGATGGAATATTGCACATTGGTGTTGGCATCTGCACTTCTATTCTAAACCATGAGTTTGTCTAATCTTGTTCAGGTGACCCATTCACCAGAAGGGATGGAAACACTCCGGTATTTTCTCTTTGATGTTTGTGGAGTAACTGCGGGCTGGAAAATGGAAGATGTACTCAATGAAGAAATAAAAGCTATCAAAGGCATGGTGGGGGCCGAAGATCATGTGATTTGTGCATTATCTGGAGGTGTGGATTCCACAGTTGCAGCCACCCTTGTTCATAAGGCAATTGGAGACAGGCTTCATTGTGTTTTTGTTGACAATGGTTTATTGAGGTAAGAGTGAAATAACATATTGCCAGGCGTAGAAAGTAGATTGTTTTATAAATGTTTGAATTGCATGAAAAATGAAATAAGAATAGTGCTTTTTAAATACTTATTCATGTTTAAGACTTCCTTGACATAATTGCATTTATATATCATTTGAATTCTGATTGTAGTCTTTATTTCCTGTAGGTACAAGGAGAGAGAGCGTGTGATGGAAACATGTGATCAGGATCTTCATTTACCTGTTACTTGTGTTGATGCAACAGAGCAATTTCTTAGCAAGCTAAAAGGTGTTGTTGATCCTGAGATGAAGAGGAAGATCATTGGAAAGGAGTTTATCAGTATCTTTGATGCTTTTGCTCAAGATTTGGATAATAAATTAGGAAAGAGACCTGCTTACTTGGTCCAAGGAACTTTATATCCTGATGTGATTGAATCTTGCCCGCCTCCTGGAAGTGGAAGTACCCATTCTCACACAATCAAGAGCCATCACAATGTTGGAGGACTTCCCAAGGATATGAAATTAAAGCTCATTGAACCGCTTAAACTTTTATTCAAGGATGAGGTTTTACTTATGCTTCCTTGCAACTTTATACATACTTGTATGTGATCCACTGTTATGCTGATTATGCATTTTTATTTCAAAGGTGCGTGAATTGGGAAGGATCTTGGAGGTTCCTGTGGCATTTCTTAAACGCCACCCGTTCCCTGGGCCTGGCCTTGCAGTACGAGTTTTGGGTGATGTCACTGAAGGAAATGCCTTGGAGATCCTTCGCCAGGTATAGGGGATTTTTCTGCATGGGTTATGCATCTTGATTATCTTGGTTATTCTTACCAACTTTTTAATATTTTCCAGGTGGATGAGATTTTCATTCAATCAATAAAGGATGCTGGTATTTACGATTCTATATGGCAAGCTTTTGCTGTGTTTTTGCCAGTAAGATCAGTGGGAGTTCAAGGAGATCAAAGAACACATTCGCATGTTGTTGCCCTTAGAGCTGTTACAAGTCAAGATGGAATGACTGCTGACTGGTGAGAATGAATATTTTTATGTATATTCTATTTTATTTATTTTTCCATTCATTTATTGCTTCCTTCTTGCAAAGAGATTTGGGTGTTTTAATCTGACCATGTCATGTTGAAAAGATGTTGGATGCATACGCAAAAAAGTTATGATCACTCTCCAATTTTTGTTAACTGATATATGAAAATTAGAAACAATTATGATTCACCTTTGTTGAGCTTTCATGCAAGGTACTTGTAAGTTGGAACTGCTCTCATATATGTCTTTTTCCTTTTGTCTTTGGGAATTGGAAAATTTCAGGTATAATTTTGAACACAAGTTCCTTGATGATGTGGCTAGAAAGATTTGCAACACTGTTCGGGGTGTAAACCGAGTTGTTCAAGACATTACATCAAAGCCTCCTTCAACAATTGAGTGGGAGTGATATTTGCTGGATGCATTTGGCTTGTTGGAAAATGAGTAAGAATTTGGATGAATTTATAGGGTATATAGGTTGATCATCACTTCAAATTTGGTGATGTTGGTAAGAAACAAAATGAGTAGTGGGAATTAACAATGTTTTGGGTTCCGCCCTTGAAACATCCAATAGACTTGATTCTTTGTATGATAATGCTTTTGAACTATTTATAAAAATTTGTTGAAGAAAATATTCTACTTTCCAAGCACAGGTTTGATCAGTACATTGAGTGATACAAGTTTTCTTTTGATGCTTTATTTAATAATTACATGTTGCAGTTTCTACTGCAAAATTCAGGAATAATGAATACATTATTCATTTGATATTTATTTCTGTTGTAGCTAAAATGAAAAATTATGTTGGAGAGAACTGAATAATGCTGACACTTCATAAAATGATTCTTTGATTGGATTTTGCCTAGCACATAAGGTTTGAGTTGGGTGATGGCCAAAAATTCCAATTTTAGCATGATGTTTGGTTGCAAGGAGGTCCCTCTATTGGAGGCATTCTTGGAACCTCGAAGTATTTGTGTCAACAAAGATGGTTTGGTTGTTGACAATTTGAGTGTTTTTGAATCTGGGATGGCTTTGAAACAGTTTTTCATTATACCTCTTTATGATTGAGAGTTAGAGGTTGTGGATGACTTTTTTGGAGTTCCAGTTTTTTAGGAATGGAGTGGACTCAGAGGTGTGGAAGCATGGAATGGGGGCTTTCACTATGAAGTCCAATTCATTGGGGTATTCGTTCATTTTGAGGACCATTTGGAAATATGGAGTTCCAACAAAAGAGGTATTTTATTAGAGCATATGAGATGGCCGATCATTTATTACTTCATTGTGAAGTGGCTTGGGAGCTACATAGTTTGCTTCTAGCTATTTTTTTGGTTCATTAAGTGATGCCAGATTGAATTCTTAATCTATTGAAATGCTAGGTGATGGATGCAAGGTGAAAAAGTGAAAGAAAACATGGATGGTGGCACCATTTGCGTCTTTATGTAGTGCTTGTGGAGAGAAAGGAATTGATAATTTGATAATATTGAAGCTCAAAATGTCTCTGTTGCATCATTTTCATTTATGGTGTAAAGGAGTTTTATTGTGAATCCTTTTTTGGTTTTGTAGATTTTGTAGGTGTACTCTTTTTTGAAATGTTGTAGAGCTTTTTGCCCCGAATATATTTTGTATAAAGCTTGTTCCCCAACTTTATTAAAAAATAAAGCTACCTTTTATTTATGGAATAAATACTATGTTTTTTCCCCTCAGATTTACTGATGTACTCTTTGATCATCTGTCCTGAATTAAGGTAAAGCTATTTGAATTATTTGAGCTCTGTTAATTTCAACTTCGATGTTTCCTTCAGTTTTCTCTTCTGCTAGTTATCAAAGAGAATCACAGAGGACTTATATTATTGAAATTTGGGCAGTGGATTATGAATCTGATTTCTGAAAATGTTGTGGGTTTTTGAGGATGATGGTTAAATTACTACCCTACCTAAGTTTACTTGAAGAGGTTAATTAAAAGGCTTGGAATGCACAAAATGATATGAATTGTGTAACAAACCTCTGTGAGAGTGAGGGTGAGAGTTAGAGTTCTTCATTAGTGTTGACAGTGGAGATCTGATGCTTTCTTGCGACTGCCCTTTGACTTCCTCATATTTGCTTGCTTCATTCAAGGATGGGAAGATGGTTTTGGCATCAAATGAAGTCATGGGAGTTAAAAGTCAGGGATCTAAGTGCCATTTGCTAGTTGCATTGTTTGATGTTTTGAGAGAGAACAAATGCAAGTAAATTTGAACCAAGGTTGGTCATACTGTTAAAGATTTTGCAGGATTAGGGCCTCAAATTGGGTGATTAGCTTCGAAAATCATTTCGTCCACCAAGCGGGCAAGAATGCATCATAACTCTAGCAATATAGAATTCATAGCCGTATTCACACTCTTGCTAATGTAATTGTTGGATACTGTGCTGAAATATGATAATCACAAAATAATATTAAAACTAACTCTTTTCATATTTCTTAAATATTAGTTCTTTTCAACTTATTAAACTAATTTGTCTCATAAGGTGGAACGATTTGACATAGATTACTAAAATTGAAAAAAAAGAAAAAGAAAAAAGAACTCACAAGTTGCACCAGACAAGATCTATATGATCTTAAGGCACATGTTTTTTTGTTTGATTTTTACACTTTTTGTTTTTTATTCTTTTATTTATTTATCTTGCCTCAACTTCATTGACAAGAAACTTGTTGAGACTACTCATGATGTTTTCCAAAACCTACTTTAAAAGCCTTTTCTTGTTGAGACTACTCATATGTACATGTTTACGCATATTTGGTTTGGGGTGTCCTAAAAAAGTATATTTTTTATTTTTTTATGAAAAGATGTGCATAAAAGTAGAGAGGTGATGTGATGGAAAAAAGATAAAAAGATAAAAAGATGGATTATATAGATTATGCCAAACGAGACCTTATTAAAAAGAGTAAATTATACTGACACTCTCTGGGATTTATGTTTATTACAGTTCTCCTCTCACATTTGAGAAATTACATTGATCCCCCTTGTCAGTGTAATTATTTGACGGTGTTCACTTTTAAGTTAAAATAACATATTTATCCTTAACCTTTACATATACTTTAAATGGTAAATTACATTGACACCCCTTGAGGTTTCAATTTAATAAGGATCCCCCCTGACATTTAAAAAAAAAAAACTAATTTAATAAAAATAAATATGAAGTAATATATTTAATTTGTAAAAAATTATTTGTAATCACTCGAAAGATAAAAATTATATAAAAATGATAATTATTTTTTATTTTTTATTTCTTAACCAAATTAATTTTTAATTTTTTTTTTCTAAAAATCAAACCATACATAGCTTAAGAATTTTTTGATAAGTCATTTCTTACGTTGGTAACTTATTTAATTATTTGTTAATTTTACGATATTTTTACCATCCGAGGCATGTTTGGTAACGATTTCGTTTTCAGTTTTCAATTTATATTTACAAAAAATTTAAAAACTGTCATAAAAACTTGTTTGATAATTTTTTTGTTTTATAGCTTAAGAATTTTTTGATAAGTCATTTCTTACGTTGGTAACATATTTAATTATTTGTTAATTTTACGATATTTTTACCATCCGAGGCCTGTTTGGTAACGATTTCGTTTTCAGTTTTCAATTTATATTTACAAAAAATTTAAAAACTGTCATAAAAACTTGTTTGATAATTTTTTTGTTTTATAAATGGTTGTCTCAGTTTGTAAATTTAAGGAAAAAATGTAAATTCAAAAAATGAGTTTACGTTGGTTTTTAAGCAGAAATTTAAAAATTTGACTAACAAATTTTTTTTTCAATTAATTTTTTTTTCAACTAATGCTAACCGAGGGGTCAATTAGTAATGCTACTTTAAATCTTGGGGAGAGGATTGTAATTTCTAAAATGTGAGAGGTGCCAACGTAATTTACCCAGTGAGGGCAAAATTGGTATTTAAAAAAATTAAATTACTGACATCAGCAAAACAGTCAACTAACTGAGAGAGCAATCTGTAATGAAACTTTAAACCTCAGGGAGGGGATGTAATTTCCAAAAGATAAGAGGGAAACTGTAATAAATATAAACCTCAGATGTGTCAATGTAATTTACCCTAAAAAAATTTAAATTTGGGTGAAAAATTTATATATTTATGTATGAAAAACTATCCAAGATCAGGTTTGCAAAAATTAAGCGCCATATTTTAGACCTAGTTGTTCACCTAATCTAAAAAATTGATTGATAAATAGTAGAAATATTTGATAATAATAGATTTAAACTTTATAATTACAAAAATGCTGGGGATCCTATATTCTAATAGAATATTTGGTAATTCATTTGAGATTTTTAACATTGCTCTTATATTTAAATTGTATCAGTTTCTTAGATTGTGACCGGCATGAGCTAATTTGAGAGTTTTAATAATTAGATTAACATTGAAAGTAGAGTAGAGATCAAGTTTTAGGCAATTTTTATAAAGGGGACTTGTGTGTAAGTCCTACTAAGTAGATTTATTGTCCAATAGGTCTTATTATAATTAATGACAATTTTTATCATACACTATTAAAAAATGCCACTAATTGTTAATTTTCAGCGACAATTTAAAAATTGTCACAAAAAATGTAACTAATTATAAGTTTTAGCGACAGTTTAAAAAAGTCGTCACAAAAAAAGTAACTAATTTTCAACTTTCAACGACATTTTGAAAAATTTATCACAAAAAAGTCCCTAATTATAAGTTTTAGCGATAATTTATAAAAATCGTGACAAAAAAGTCATTAATTATTAATTTTTAGCAACATATGTAAAAAATGATAATTTAAAATTATTTTTAACGACGATTATAATAGGTCCTATTTTCAATAGGACTAAATGGGAATTAATTCAAACTATTATGATCTATTGGTAGTTTACCTCTTTATAAAACAAATATTAAAGTTTTTATTACAATTAAGGAGACAAAAACTTCATAAATATTATTGAAAAATAAAAATATATAAGGATGGTGATAATGTAATGATAATTACATTATTTTATTTATCATGTAATGTTTTATTACCACGTTTATAACATATATACAAAGAGACCAATTACACCAATACAATGACATACATGATATGGTAACTAACATTTGATAAATATACGTGGTCATAGTCATTTTAGATGACTTTGATAATAAGTACTCAAAAATTTAGCTACAAAAATAGTATATGGTTATTTTTTAGTGAAATCTATCATTCGAATAAATATGAACTACACACTATTCTTTTTGAATTAATTTAGGAGAAATAACATATCAGTTAGATGAAAAAAAAAAAAAGAAAAAAAAGATACATGGTAAAGTTTAAAATTTTAATTATTAAAATTATAACTTTTCCATGTATTTATAATTTTTTTTTGAAAAGTTGGCCTGATTTGTAACTCTATTAATTTATCACCCAAATTATATGTTATTTTTTAAAAAATAATACCTACTTTTTCAAAGCTACCAGCGATTTGAAGCATTCTATGTCGGGGATTGGGGATTCCGCTCAAGATCTTCTAGAAATTACACCAAGCAGAAAAACACACCCACACTTAAGGAGACACCATATTTAACGTGGTTCGGTCTCAATGCCTACGTCCACGGGAGAGTAACCGGTTATTACTATAACAATGGAGAGATTACAGAAAAATTACAATAGAGGAGGAGCTCACACTATCCTCACTCAGTCACTCTCCCGTCTCCCTCGCTCACACCGAGAGAGACGATCTCTCTGCCTCACATCTCTCACTCTCTGGGTTTGTTCTCTCTCAGTTTGCTCACTTAAGCTCCACACTCTCTTTCTCTATTTATACACAAATGAGGGAGAATCTCGTTGGTTACCACCTACCTTCTTCCACTCTCTAGTAGATTGGAGTTGGTGAGCCACCTACCTTCTTCCACTAGCTAGTGGGCTGGACCCACCAAATGAGTTGATATCCAACATTCTAGTTTTTCACTTTGGTTAGGTAATGGCAAAAAATTAAGGGAAAATCACAATTATGTAGAGCTTTCACAAAATAATTATAGATTTGTAAAAAAAATTAAAACTGTAATTATTAATGTTTATAAAGTTTACTATTGACTTGAAATTTTATAACGTTACACTGAATTGATTGTTCTCCTAAAATAAATTCATAATACCCAAATCATTGAACTTGACATGCATCTAATGATCTAAAACTATAACAAAAGAGAATGGTTGGAGGTTTGTATACATACATGTATATCTATGTATAACTTTAGATTTGTATATATGCATGTCTTCTATGTCTCAAGTTAGAAGCAGTCAATAAAAAAAAGTTGATATTAGATAAAACATTAAGCTTCAGCAAGGGATGTGATTTCACTAATGATACTCTTGCCGAGCTCATCATCATCATCATCATCATCGTTGCCGCCTGCTCACCGTCTCCATTGATCATGACATAACTCTATTCTAGTTTTTGATCCATGCAAATATAAAGGCAAGGTTACAGAAATTTATAGGTACGGCTAGGTTGTGAAAAGAAAAAAAAAATGGAAAGGCATAATTTTAAGTTTTCGTATTCTATATTTGTGTGATTCTCTCCTTTTAAAATCCAAAAATTATAGGACAGTTTTCATAATTTTGAATTTTAAAATTTATTTCTTAACAGGCTAATTAATTAGATTTTTTTCATTTTTTAAATCAAAAAATTAGAAAAATTAGTTTGAGATATTAGAGTACTAAAAATATTAGTTTGAACATATTTTATTTATTTGTTTGTTTAATTTGGAAATTATGTGAGAAACATGAATTTTTATTATATTTTTAAATTGAAAATTTGATTTTAGGCAATGATCAATTTGAATTGATCTTTATTTTATTTTATTTTAGGTAAAGATGTTAGAAGATTTAGAAGAAATGTTATTTATTTATTTTTTTAATTCAAAAATTATGTTAACTAATTTGAATTGGCCTTTCTTTGTTTTATTTTAGGGAAGGAATGATTTTAGGTAAAAAAGTTAGAAGATGGACAAATAAATTTTTAATTCATTTCTTTAAATTGGAAGGTCAACAAATTGTGTTTATGTATTTGATTTTAGGAAATTTTGGGCAATGATTTTAGGAGTACTTACGTATAGGTCCTAATAAGTGGATTTATTATCTAATAGGTCTTATGAGAAAAATTTGTTATAAAAAAATGTCACTAATTGTAAGTTTTAACGACAATTTATAAAAATCATGATAAAAAAAAGTTACTAATTATCAATTTTTAGCGACATATATAAAAAATTGTCACAAAAAAATTATTTTTAGCCACAATTTTACCAAGACTTATTTTCAATAGGACTTGATGGAAATTAAAGTTCAACTATTAGGACCTATTGATAGTTTACCCATGATTTTAGGAGATGGGTTTGAAGAGATTTTATTTATTTATTTGTTTAATTCAAAAATTATATGAGACACATGAGTATTTATTATTTTTTTAAATTAAAAAATTGAGAAATTTAAGTTGAGCACCTAGAGCTCTCACATCCCTTCAAATTTGAAATTCTTTTTTTCTTAATATATAGTATAGATTACCAAAAGAAAGAAAGCAAAAGCAAAAACAAAGACGAAAACAATTATTTAAACTTTTTCTCTTGGATTGATCATTCATCAAACAGTTAAATGCTGGAAATTAGAAATCATATATATATATATGTATATAGTTAATTATACTTTTAAATCTTATATTTTGACTTAAATTTTACTTTAATCTTTATAGTTTTAAATTAAATAATTTGGTCTTTGCACTTGAAATCTAGTTACAATTTGGTTCGCCAAACCAAATTTTTATTATTTTTTTCTTCTGTGTATATCTTAGGAAACTGATAAGTATTTTAAAATTATTAACTTTAACCTTTTACTTGAACGAAAGAATCAAACTAAAATTAGATTTAAAGTGCAAGAATCAAATTGTTCAGAGTTTGAAATAATAGGTATCAAAGTGAAATTTAAGTCAAACTCAAAGGGTGAAAAGTATAATTAACCCTATATATAATAGCAAAACTTAGCATTCACTCATTTTTCTCTTTCTCTATCTCTATTCCTTTTTGACTAACACAAAACCAATCCTTTGTTTAAAGTGAAACATCTTTACTTCAAAAGAAAAAAATGACAATGGCATGTCACCAATTTCATCTCCATACAAAACCTAAACAGTGTTTTTGTTTTTGTTTTTCTGATGAGGAAACCACCTCTGCAGAGTAAACTTCAGATGCTTACAACTACGGGTAAGAACTATTCGGTGGTCAAGCTCTCTCTGATGTAAAGAGGAGAATAATTATCCTGGGAATGTTACAAACTCAGAATACATAATTAACACTTCAGTTTATTGGTCTGCTCTACTTGGGAAGAAAAAACCACTACTTTTGTTGACAGTTAGAGATCCTAATGCAATATTACGAAAAATACACAGTTTTACACTAATTGAAGCTCTGCAGCACATTTGAAAAACTCAAAACAACCCATAATTGTCGACGTGAGGACGATCTTCATCACTTTCTAACCACTCTCTGAAGGGCTTGCCTTATAATTCTCGCTGAGGCGACTTTGGATCCCTTGAACTGCAATTTAAGCACAAGGGTCATAGTTAAAATAGCCATTAGGAAATAATAATCATCAACAAAATCAGTAACTAAAAAAAAAAAAAAACCTACATAAACTTGAAAATAAAAATGAATACCCGTGAATATTACTGTGTGTTCTATATGAAAATTGTGAAAAAAATTGATAAATGAAATAAATATTCCTAAAATTTCAGGTAATGCTGGTCCAAACCTTAGATTTGGCAGTCAAGGAGAGAATCCCATCAGTGTTAGTTGATTGAATGGAGTAAGAATCTAAATGAAGATGACTAATTGCATCCATGATTTCTAAAAGCAAGCACTCTCTCCATGGACATCTAACCTCAATCAAAACATCCTTTTCGATCATACTGACAGTTACACTATCATTTGAACTATTTTTCAGCACCATTTGGTTGATCTCAGGCTCTATTTCGCCAATGTCACAAGCTTTCCTCTTGTTTATTAATGGTTTCTTAATGTTGTTGGCGTAGTTATCGGATGTCCTCTCTGCTGAATCTTGGGGTTTCCTTCTTGTTCTGGCTTCTTGCTCTACAACCTCCTTGAAAGAATCCAACTCCTCAACCCTTCTCTCGAGGTCTTTTAGGTATTTAATTGTATTGTCAAGTATGGACACTTTATTAACCTGCACGAACAAAGACAAAATCTCTAGTGAACCGTCTCTTCAATGAAACTGATGTTTGTGAGACTATAGATTGAAGTACCTTGCTAGTTGAAGGGACCAATGATCCAAGAACCGAAAATCTTTTGTTTATTTTTTCCCTTCTCCTTCTCTCTGACAACACATGGTTTGAATCAATGTCATCAACCTGCGGTCTCCATAGTCCATCTCTTTCTCCATTATTTTCCCTAGAATCAAGCAAAAAAACACTGTGCATTTGAGCAACTTCGAATAGCACTTTCTTTAACAATCTTTGTGGAGTTCCAATTCGAGGCATTTGAATACCCACAAAACTGCATTTCTTCCACCTTACAAAGCTCGATTCTTGATTACAGTTTCGAACATTCGGTCCCAAAATCAACTGGTGGGAGGTCTTGAGAAGAGTTGAAAGAACACTTTGATAATGGATATCATTGTCTTGAAGGCCAGTTGAAGCAGGTTTCATCTGATTCTGTTCTTGTAGGTCAAGGAGAAAACCGTCATTTTCATTCTGTCCCTTGAGAAAAGGGCAGACCGTTTTGGGACTAACCAAAGTTTGAGATATACAGTCACTGGAACTCATGGAATTATGGACACAGTTACTAACTTCATCGTTTAGGCCTTCAACCATAAATGATTCCTCGTTAAGCCCAAACTTGTTTGAGCTGTCATTGGGAGAACAAACATTTAGTTCTTCACATCCAACAATTGGATTAAAATTGGTATCATCAAGAATGTCCCGATCAAGCGTGGCATGAATAAGGTCTTTGTCTGATGCTTCGTAAACAATTGGGTATGGAATCTCCAAGAAGGAAGTTTTAATGTGTTGAATGAAACCAGGATCTTCAAGAATCTTGAGAAAAAACAACAAATTACATCAGAGGAAATTGGCTCAAAATTAGATGCAGAAGAAAACTCTATCAAATCGACCTTGTGTAAGCTTCTGACACTAACTTACCAGGTCGGTTACACCCAGCTCAACGACACCTCCCAAAAATGGGAAGCATACCACAGTCTGCCAGTAAAAAGGGGCTATCTCATTAAATACATAATTAGAAGAGAAAACTCCATAGCACAAAATGACAATTTAGTTTTTGGTAAAGCATTGTCTATATAAACAGGCTTCTGTCTTGCATTTGATTCATGTACACACACATTTTAACATTTTGCTAATACTTGGTCTTCTTAGGATAATCATATTAGCACACGGGGTTTCTTTTTAAAAAAGATGAAGCAGAAGAAGGCAATGGTACCTGAATAGATGCGCTCTGCATAGGATATAATCAGTGAAAATCCGGCAGTTGAAAAGAGACAAACAGAAATTCAGTTTATGGAGTTAGTTTGAGCATAATAGGAATTCCATGAAAAAAGGAGTTTTTATCACATTAAGCTCTGCCGCCAAGAAACAGGAAGTTACCTTTGCGAGCAGAGAACGACTGAAGACTTTGCTATCTGCATAATGAGCATTACATAGCCAGATGGGTTGGCCATTTGCTAATGTTCTTCCAGGCAACCTGGAGAATAAGTTAACATGGTTAAGATGCATAAGAGAATTTGTTTGGTGAACTGTTTCTGAAAACTATTTTCAAGAAAATTTTCTAAAAAAACCACTGTTTAGGAAACACGAAAAAAGTTGCAAGGGACACGAAAAAGATGGGTGATTTTGAAAATTTTTGTTGTTTTTGTTTTCTAAAACATTGAAAGTAAAAACACAATCAAACACGCCCTAAAACTACAAATTGTTACTATATAAGCCCCAAATCCAAACAAAAGCAATGCAGTGGTTCAGCAATAAGGGAATCCTGCGGTCCCCAACATGGATACTAGTAAGAAAATTTATGGCCACATGAAAACAGAATAGTTCTAAAGGAAAAGGATAATTTCTTCAGCACCAAAACAAAGTGAGTAGAAATCTACTCTGTATCAATGTATATTGCCTAATAGTCCCAATTGTAATGAATTGTGGACCCTATTGAATGTTTAAATAATGAGTGAAGTCGGATGGACTAATAATAATAAATTGAGAGAAATGGTAAAAAAAGAGAGAAGTTACCCTTGGCCAATATTGAATACAAATGACATGCAAACCAGGTAATACCACTCGGTATCGGTGAGGTCTTCCGGGGATAATGCAGCTGAAGGCCTTCTGGCTTGTGGGCTGCTTTCGCCCGTGGAGAGAGACTCATAAAGTTCTCTCAGTTGTTCACTCCTCTGCAACCCCAGTTGGTCTGCATTGAATTCTACTGCTTGTACTGTTTTCCTGGTCTTAATATCTCCATTGTAATACCCATCACCCCATTCCAATACTCTACCAATACAATACCATCACAATCAATAAACTAAATTAACTAACTAGATATGCTTGGGAGAGGCTATATGTTGCAAGAAATTGTTTGTGCTCATATTCAAATAAATTTCTAACAATAATTATACTGTAATTAAAAAAAAAAAGAAGCAAAAATAAAAGACAACTAGGACAACTATGAAAAGTAGACAGTAATTTATTTAATTAAGATAGCTAAACTAGAGAATAATGCAAAATATGAGAAGTGCCACAAAGTTCAATTTCATTATATCTGTGGATTAAAAGGGCAAACATCACAAATTTGATGTCAATAGCATGAGTTTTGATTCTGCAGTTACCACATTATACTAGATTTTATAAGCAGACCTGAAATTTTCTTTAAATTTACAAAAAAGTGTGGAAAAACATTCCATTTCAAAGTAAAAGTTTCTATTTAAGCCCCAAAAACATTTTCAAATCACCCATTTTAGAAAGTAACTTTCCCACAAACAGCAGCCTAATTGGAGATAATTTGGAAACCTAAGACAATTCCCCCTTTCTCTCGAAGAAAAAACTGAAAACCCAAGAAAAAAAAAAAAAAAAACCCCCCCCCCCCCCCCCAAAAAAAAAAAAAAAAAAAAAGAAGTAAAAATTCTGAAAATCATTAAAAAAGAAAAGAAAAGAGAAGAAGAAGAAGAAAAAAAGAGAACAAAAATAAAGTAGAGAAGAGAAAATGTTGAATACCCTGGCTGTCTTGATGAAATAGACCAGAAGATTGCATAGCTCCACTGAATGGTTCTAACAGCAACAGCAAGCTGGTTTCTGAGATCTTCTGGCACTCCTTCCTGGTTATGGTGCCCCCCAGAAGCCATACTGTACCACTCTAGTGTTCACCTCTCTCTCTCTCTCTCTCTATATATATATATATATAGAATCATGCAAGAAATCCCACCACTTGATCAGATCTCAGAACCATAGGACACATTTTTGGAAACAGGAGGACCGAGGTATCAAGTTTCTTTCTTTTCTTTTTTTTTTTTTTTGAACAGGAGCTTGGATCTTTCTTGATTCTTAGAAAAGTGTTCCTGAATTTAACGACTTTTCTTGGTTTTCTGAACCAAACATGAAGCAGAGATAACACAAATCCAGTTGGGTCTTGCCATCAGAGTTCAAAATGCAAAAGCTTCAGGGACCAAAATTTCAAGTATAGGTCCTTTCTGGCCAGTCAGTGAGCTAGCTGGGAACTAGAGAAAAAGCAAGAAGAAAAGGTCAAATAATGCTCACACTCCTTGGCCATAAAGATTATAAGGCCACCACACAAGGAACACAGTGGTAAATTATTTCCTGATTTGTACTGAACTCATTCAGGACACTCATCAAACACATACGTGTACGTGTATGTATATACTATATGATATTATTACTAGATTTTGGGATTAATCTAGCAAATGGGTGCACCAAGATTTTAACAGTTAAGAGGGAACAGCAAGAATGACAACTTTTTTGTATTTTCTTTTGTTTTGGATCTCTTGAGAGGAAAAACAAAAACAAAAACAAAAAATAAATAAATAAAAACATCAAAGATCTGGCCTTTTGGCCCAGAAATCTGATACACTATGGTCTACAATAAAACCAAAGGGTGGGTAATAAAACCCACAAATTAGGAGCAAATTAAAATGGAGATTTGAGTGCTAAGAAGAAAGGAAAAACAGTAGAAACAATAAGGTGCTGTTTGGTAACACTTACGTTTTCAGTTTTCTTTTTTAAACATTTTGTCAATTACCAAACGCGTTTGTAGTTTATGTTTTCCTAAAAATAAACAAAAAATAAACAAAAACCAGTTTATAAAATTTTTATAAATATAAACTGAAAACGTAAACGTTACCAAACACACCCTAAATACTTAAATGGGAAACAGATCAGGAGTCTTTAGTTGAAACACTTTTAGTAAAGGTGGTGATGATTAGCTTTTGCTATGGATTTTGGGGTGTGTGCTTGAGCTAATGACTAAAACAGAAAGATGTGGAATGGTCGAGAGAGAGAGAGAGAGAGAGAGAGAGAAAGCGAGTAGCAAAATGATGAATGTAAAGATAACAGGAAAAGAAAGGAGCACATGATAAAGATTCTCTCATATTCGATCCAAAGTCCAAAAGAGAAGGACAGATATACCAGAGAGAGTGGAGGATTGGGCGCAAGAGTTTCGTCACATGAATATTTAAGCAGTTCAGTTAAAAAAAAAAAAAAAGAATATTTAAGCAGTCGTACGGTCGTCGTGTATGCATGTGGGGGTTTCGTTTGGTATATGGCAGTCTGCCACTAATTATTAACAAACAGCTATTCTAAACCTTACGACGTTGTTTGGGAAGTTGGTTTTGGTGAGTTGGGGATTAAAATAGTTATAAAAAAATAAAATAAGTTATTTTAGTCATAAAAAATAAAATATCAAATTCAATTCATAGTCATTACACTCATTTCTCACAAAAAAAGTCAAAAAAATCAAAAAGTCAAAAAGCCCTTCCCAAACTAGACTTTTTAGCCCCAAGCTAAAATAGTTAAAAAGTCAAAAAACCAACCCACTTTCCAAATGGAGGCTGAGCTGGTTTGGTTTTGATTTTTAAAATTTTTTGATTTCGTTTGTAAGCTTAAGATCATCTTTAACGGTGCATCAAACCATGCATCAGATTTAAAATTTAATGAAAAAGTGATTTTTTCAAACTCTAATAATTTTATCAATTTGATATCAAAATGAGAATGGAATAAATATTTTATCAAACTGAGCACAAGCTCTGTATATCAGTATTTCACTGTGCTTGACCATTGAGGTGGGCCAACCGGTCAACTAACCGGATGTCCGGCCGGTTGACCCACCGGTCGACCGGTTCCCTTTCAAATAGGTAGGTTCAAACCGGTCAAAAAGATTCAAACAGGTAAAAAAAAAAAAAATCAGTCTTACCGGTCGACCGGCCGGTCGGCTCTTCCCTTTTGATGCACGGTTGGAGCAAGTCATATCAGATTGAGAAAATTAGTTTTTTTTACTCAAATTTGGGGAAAATTTTGGTTCACCGCCGTTGGAGATGCTCTAACTTGTGACTTTTTATTATTATTTTAGTTACAAAAAATAAAATAGGCTTTTTAATTTAATAAGACAAAACATCACATTAAATCTATAATCATTATATTTTTTTTCTCACAAAAAGCCAAAAAAGCTAAAAGCCCTTCCCAAACTAGGCTTTTTATCCCAAGCTAAAATAGTCAAAAAAGTTAAAAAGTCAAAAAGCCAACCCACTTCCCAAACGAAATCTTTGTATTTTTTTTTCTTATTTTAATATTTTTAATATTTTAAGTAATTTTTTTTTTAATTTATAGACACACTAAACATAAATACACTTCAAAATATATAATATTTATGAAAAAATTATTAAAAAATACACTAAATATCAAAAAATATTAAAAAAATAAAAATTTAGTATTTTTTTTTATATTTTTGTATATTTATTAATTTTTAAAAATATGTTTTCACAAATATTTTACTATTTGGATACATCTAAATAAGGTGCATTTAAAAAAGTGAAAAAATTGCTTAAAATTTAAAAATTATTCATTAAAAACAAAAAAATATGAAAAATAAAAAATTTAATTTTTAAAAAACTGAAACCAAACACATTGTTTTCCCTTTTTTTTTTTTGACAAGCGGATTGTTAAAAATAGCTTTTGCAATTGTAACAGGATTGTGTTGTATCTAGTTTTGAAATCAGTTTGTGTATTGTTAAATTTTTATAATTTTTATTTTCTTTATTTTCTTTTTTTGAAATAGAAACCATGCCGGTGAACTATTGAAGTATAATTACTTTATCATTTCTATAGAAATTTGAGGACTTCTACAAGCACATAATTTTTTAGTAGGAATTTGTTCAGAGAACAGTGGTGGAAATTTAGGCCTAATTTGCGAATTAGTTAAAAGTTAATTTAAACTTCGTTTGACATTAATCAATTTTTTTGTGTTGAGACTTTTTTAACTTAGCTTTTTAAGTCTCGTTTGGTTTGAATTTTTTGATTTTTTTGACTTTTGTGAGAGAAAAAAGTGTAATGATTATAGGTTGGATGTGATATTTTATCTTATTAACTTATTTAGCCTATTTTGTCATTTTGTGCTTTTTTTACTCTAAAATGATAGTCAAACCAGGCTTAGCTTTTAACCTTTTTTAAGTCACATCATCTCTTTATTTTTTAATACATTTTAAAAAAAAAGAGTTAAAAAGTCTACTTTTAACTAACTTTCCAAATAACCCTTTTTAGATTTGGAATTCATTATTTAAGAATTGAATCTGGAATATTAATCAAGCTTTTGGGTAACTTTTGAGTTTGAACTTCATGTTTGTTAGAATTTTTGAGAGAAATTATTTAGTGAATTTCGCGCATATTACATACCTTAGACCTAATATTTCATGAAGAAGACTCTTACCGTTTAACTAACACATAACATACAATAAATGATTTATTTTTCTTTTATTTATTTGAATTGCACACCTATCACGTGTGCCAACAGTTAATTAGATAAAAAATGATTATATGGCCTCTCACTATTAAACGAGCACCGAATCATCTGATAAGTTAAACCTACCGAATAATTTCTTCTCATATTGGTTAAAGTAATATTAATTATTGTCAAAATTGCATACAGTTGATTAAAGAATTAAATTGTTGTAACTAAGAATTTGTTGGTTGTTTATTTATTTTTTTCATTAGTTTAATGTTACTCTATTGATGTCTATAGATATTCTCCTAATCATTGACACAAAATAAAATAAAATCATATGTTAAAAAAAATCTTATAATAAACAATGAGCATAATTTACTAGTCTGATGTGAAATTATATTAAATTTAATAATTACGAAAATTTCGTTAAAGAAAAGATATTAATTTCTTCTATAAAAAAATTTAGGCAATTTGTAAAGCTTTATAGCATGCATAAAAAAATAATATTGGGCTCTAATAGTAATTTGTGAAACAGGTCTAAATATATAGGGTAATATTCAAATAATTATATTAATTTATGAGAAGTGAGCAATATGTTTATTTTGATTTGGTAAATTTATCGACATTAATTTTTATTTTAATATTATTTAAACTGTTAAACCCAAACAATAAAATATAACTTTAAGAAGAAAAAAAAAACGAAGAAGAATTTTTAAAAATTCTGTCCAACCAAACATAGAATAAAATTTCGTCAACAAGGTCCCAAATGACAGGAGCAAATTGAATTTCACTTTTACAAGTTTTGCCATTTATTAAATTATTTTGTTTATTTAAATTTAAAAGAGTAGTACGAATTAATCACAAGTCCTCTCGAATCCGCAGTCAACATCATTGGAACGCGCATCAACTGCAGTGATATTCTCGGCTTGGCTCAATTCAATTCTATCGAGTCGCAGCTCGGCTTGATTTTCATGTCTAGTAAATCCAAATTGCTCAAGTTAAAAAATTGCAACTTGCTCTTTATTGGGAGGTTTGTTATAGATTTATTCATATTTTAAAAATGGGTCACTATGTTACGCAATTTTATTCCCTTTGATAATTGATTTTTCTTTAATTAGGGCTCGTTTGGGAAGTGATTATTTTAGTAAGTTATTTAGTTTTTTAGCTATTTTAGTAGGTTATTTTAATTTTTATGTTTGGAAAGATGAGATGGATTTTATTTGAGTTATTGTATTGAAAAATATGTTGAAATGATGTTTGAAATTAGAATGACAAATTTGCCCCTAAAAATATATATTTTTAAACAAAAATGATTTAGACCTCTAAAAGAAGAGCTCTAATAGAGCACTAATTTGTCTTTTTCTTCCCTCTTTTTTGTCTTTTACTTCACTGTTTTTTTTTTTTTTTATTGGTTGACAGCTCATTAGAGCTGTCATTTTGCAGCTCTAATTAGAGCTTTGGAGCATGACCCATTTTTAAATTGCTGTCAAAGGATAAAATCGTAATTTATGCACTGATGGAACAATTTCTGCAGCTGGGTGCCTACACTGTTCCTATTTATTTTTTTTTTTGAAAAAACTTGCAACACTGAACTTTTTGACTAAATTTTCATTTTAGGCTATAATAGCCTCTTTAGCCACTTCCCAGACAGCGCCTTTGTAAGGCTTTAATATTTGCTAACAGGTGGGCCCCGTTTGAAGAAAAATGTAATAATGAATGGGCTGTATTAGTATGACAAATAATTCCATAAGTTGACGAAGAAAAAATTTGATGAAGCAACGTGGAGGCACTACAAACATGTTTATTTGAATTAATTCGGCTAGTTTAGTTAATTATCTCCGTATGTTTAGTGGATTTTTTTTACTAAATATAAAGATTGATAATTTTTCGTTTATTATGAAATTTTGTTGTGTCATTTATTTTTATTTATTTTTTTTATTATGGGACTCTTTCACATGTTAATAGAGGTGTAAATCTAGCTTGGTCGGGCCCGGTCTGGCCCATGTCGAGCATCGTAGACTACTGCCAAAATTCAGTCTGGTCCATGGTTTAAAAAATTAAGCCCAGACCTATCTTTAGGCCCAGGGGTATTCGGGCCTTGGGCGGGCCAGTGGGCTATAGGCCTAGGCCTGGCCTCAGGCTTGGGCGAGCCTGACCATTTTTTTGTTTTTTTAATTTTTTTCCATCAAAATTTTATTATTTTCCACTAAAAAAAACATCGGCCTTGAGTGAGCCTTAAGC